TATGATGATTTAGCAATTTGTAAAATATGTGTTATATGGTTTACTGAGTCTTGATCAAGTTGTCGACTAATATTTAATAAATCTTGTGTACGTGCTTTCCAAAATTCAATTTCTTCTAATGGCCCACTATTTTCATCAACAATAGATGCATCTTGAGAACTTGATACCTCTTTTAATTGTCGACACCAATGAACCATTGAAGATTCTAAACGTTGAACTAATTCTTTATCTTTTGCTGCTTGTTCAGCCGGTATATCTAAGCCTTCTTTTGGTATATATAATTTTGTTACACCTTCCATACGCCAACGAATATCAGTTAAAGTAGCAAGAAAACGATGTAATTGAGATGCAAAATCATTTTTTATTGAATCTGGCCACATTTTATTACCAAAAAATAATGGAGCATACAGACCAGACATTAAACGAAGAAGTGAAGAAAAATGTTTACCACCAAAATTACCATATTGAACATCACTAATATACAAATATATATATATGTGTTTAAATATCAAATTTTTCTATTAAATAACTTACTGAATAAATTGTTCTTTATTTGCAACACGTACTGCTGTATTTTTAATAAAATATACTAAATGTGTAAATGCATTTGTTGGTACACCAAATTCAACACAAAGTCCAAGTACACGATCAATATAAAAACACATTATACGATTATCTGGATCATAAAGATAATCACGAACTTGTGCATGAACATCTTCTGTCCACATTTCGTCTTCTAGACCAGGAAGTGTAACAAGTTTATGAATATATTCCAACTAAAATTTTACAAATATGATTCATTCAATTTCTAATCCAGAATCAACTTACAATAAATTCAGTTTCTGATTTTACATAAACACCTTCACCTTCTTGATTGGCTGTTTCATCGGTATTTTCATCAACTACCGGTACTGTAGGAGTTGGAGGTTTTGAGTGCTCTACAACTGAAGTTCGTCCATCACCATTAGTAACATTATGGGGTTTGGGTGATGGAGCAGCATGTCCAGATGATTTTCGACTACCAAGTGAAGTTCCTTCACGTAGTGATGCTGCTTTACTACGACCGGAACGAACTGAATTAATACGTGAACCCTGTCTGGAAGGATTATCAGCAGCTCCACCAGTTTGTGAATTTGTATCAGTTTGATCCATTGAAATGGATCCGAACAAAAATAATCACAGATACGAAACAAA